CGTGCTTTCCGAAAATTCAATTAATCGCAATTCAATGTTGAGTTGGCACTTTTGCTTCAATGTGCTTGGCCTGATAATCAATAGAACGAGCCTATTCTGTCCAGCTGTCTAGCAAATTTACAGAAATCGCACTGCAATCCTGCACTTGTCAAAACTGAAAAGTCAGGATAAGCCGCAGAAGGAATAATCAGCTGCATTCTGCTGCACTAACTGCTTTGTCTCTGTCTTTTTCGTTTGTACTTGTACAAAAAGAATTTATTACATCGCTAGCACAGAATGTACTTCTAGACAATGTATTGGTCTTACAATAAATATTATTTCATAAAGTTAATATTTGTAGGCTAACCTTTTTTTTTGTAAGAATTGGTAAATCCTGTGTATATCTCTGCTCTAGGCTTTAGAGAACTTCACTTTTAATCGACGGCTTAAGAGGAATTGGAAGCTTCCCTGTTATAGATACATTTATGATCAACTTATGATGTATGAATCGATATAGCCATCCTCTTTTGTAAGCCGACATGAGCATTGAAGACATAATATATTAAAAACCAAAGCTATTATAATATTTAATAATGGTCCAACAGCAAAGATCTTAATTTAATTTAGTTGCAATATTTTATGAAAATCATCGATCGCTGGGACTTCTTGTTTGAAAATTAATAGATTTATAGTTTCAGGAGTGGCCAGCAATTTGTTGAATTACAATTTTTAAATTAAAATTGATTACAAATTATGTTTACATAAATATTTATCCGATTAGATAAATAATTTCCTAGTTTCCTAGGTGATCTAGGAATTAACCGAACATAATGTAATAAAACAGGCAAAACTATGGGAATTACGAGAGCTATAGAAATCACGAGCTAGTTTTTACTCGCACCTAGAAGAACTATGCAACAGTTTGGTAATACTAGCGCTTATTAATCCTAAGTCCTTTTGTTCATACCGACGAATGGACGGGCGGACTGACATATATGGGAAATCCAGTTTGGTATATACTCGTAATATTTACGGTATGGTTATGGCATTTGGTAATCATTAATGTTAATTTGTAAACTAATTATTTCTCAAGTAAAATATTTTTTTTCCGCTAAAACTAAAACACTTCCTCAAATCAGGTTCTATAAAATATGTAATATAATGCTGTTGAGCGTTATTTATTTTAGGAAGAGTTATTTATTTATGAGAGGAAGTTGACTGTTATCATTTCCATTTATATTATATTCTAATTTTTAATTTTTGTTCTTTCTAAGCAATTAATCTTTACTAATAAGACAAGTATCATAAAGGAGGTTGAAGTTTTCAAAAACTAGTGTTTTAATGTCTGATTTATTTATCTCAGGGGTGCTTACACATTACCCTCCAAGTTTTCAAAGGCTTAATGATATTTTAATCAAAATGAGAGACTAATGGCTTATGAAGCATGCAGCACAACATTTCCAATACAAGAAATTTGTATTTTTAAAGTTAAGCGGACATTATAATTGTGTCCACTTACGACTTCGTATCTTGTGTGCAAACATCTCTATTTCGTTTTAAAACTATGATCAAAAGAAACCATAGCAACAATTATTCGTGATTATTGGATTGGAAAATAGCAATAACTTGAATTGCTTTCATTCAGCTGTAGGCGTATAAACAACAGGTTTTTTCGGTTCAGTTTCTCTTATAATTATGAACCATTTTTCGTTTTTACATTCCTTATAAGTTCATGTTGCTGGACGTAAAAAGTAGGGCACACACACACATGTAGGCATTCACATACTTTATCTGAGTTTCTTTTTTTTTTTTTTTGCCTCGAACTTGCAGACCCTAGAATCCAGAACTTTTTAATTGGGCCAACGGCCTGTGAGCAATGCAAGTTGCATGGAATGGCATGTGCCTTGCACCGCCAGCAACAACAGTAGCCTGGACAGGATAGAAAATTGAAACATGAAATAATAATTTTCGACAGAAATAAATTAAAATTGTTTGCATACCAAAAACTTGCAACAACCACAAACCACCACCACCACCACCACCAACAACAACAGCAAGAACAAACAAAAAATAGGTAGAAATGGTCATTAAAATTTGTTTGTATGCAAAATTCCAATGAAATGCAAATTGCATTAAAGTTTTTCGGCTTCTCGTGTATGCGCGACTGTGCGTTTCCGCATCCGTTTGGGCTTGCCATTTAAAACCGCAAAGCTACTGGAAAATTGCAGATGGCGGCTGCGCGAAAAAAGGGAAGGGAACGTTCTTTTAGGACGTGTGCGGCATGCGACAACAACTGCGCCGAGGTCAAGTTAAAACTCAGCAAGGACGCAGGGACATTTTCGTGATTTGAGACAGCTCCGACGAATGCTGAAGTAAAGGTAAAGCATTGCCTGCGATTTGGACTCGAATGCTTGCGTACTCGTATACTCGTTCATAGTCGGTACAGGTGCACCACAAAATTCCTGCTAAGCGTGCAACATTTGCGCTTGCCTGCCGCACCTCGTTAGTTTAATTCTCAAAGTGTGCATCTTGGTCACGTCTGCCAGTGAATTAAATGCGCGCCAGTTGCGGGCAATTCTGCTCTGAGCGCGCTCAGGATGTTCAGTCAGAGTTGCCCCATCAGACCCGCAAGGAAGGGGAGTCTTGCTTTCTGTTGCCGTTATGCTAAATGCTAATATTTCAAGGTTCACATAAAAGTACGGTCTTAGCTCGAAGGAACATACTGTTTCCCAGTCGACTGAGAATTCTATTTCAAAATGTCAACGCACTTTTTGAACCGAACTATTTGAAATCAATATCTACTGACTGCCTTAAACTGAAGTTTTAATCTATACTATTAATGAAATATTGTTGATCGATTTAATTTGTTCAACAATGTTACAGTCAAAGAATCTCTCTGTCCATTGTCTGTCCATTGTGTTATAAAAGAAAATTAAGGTGAACTCGTGCTGTATAGGGACTAGCAGAGTCCACATACCAAAATTGATTAATGTGGGAGGAGGCTTCTTTGGACGGACGAACAGACAGACGGACGTACATTGATGCCATGTCATGTTTTTTAAGGGCAGAATTAACAAACTGAAATTCTCGTTGAGAGAAAGCTAGCTAGGTAATGCTGTGCCAGTCGTAGAATTTTTATACCCTCTACCCCCAAGGGTGAAAAGGTTTAAGTATAGTATACGTGTATATATTATTAATCAGCAGGACGAGACGAATCGATGTAGACATGTCCCTCCATTTGTCTGAGCGCTCATTAACCAACCTTGGAACACGAGTTTATTTTACCTTCGCTTGCTTTAGAAATATTCTTTTTACACTAATCTCTCTCTCTCCAATTGTAATAATAAGAATTTATTTAATAATGGAATTATATCAATATAGCGAATTATAATCTTCTGCCAAAATTCAAACCTGCCCGTAGGAAGTATGAGATCTATAATAAAGCATAGAATATTAATGAAAATATTGTCTGTTATTAAGAAAATCATAGTTTTTAAAGATTCCGGGGAACTTTTATTTGCATAGCGATTTGTAATTTGTTTTCAGAATCGAAACCTATGCATAGGATATAGCAGGGCTTTGCTGATTTCAATGAAACACTTTGATGAGGTCGTGTGGAGAGATCACTGTACCCTCACACAGATGCGAGTGAAAATATGAGCAGCGATGGGCGCGTTAACGCCAATAACATAAATGTCGCACTAAACTGCCAATTTGTGTGAATTATGACAGGGACATAGTCGCTAATCAGCTTTGATTAGAACAGGAGACGGTTGCCAGGCAATGCGGAAGACGGCGAGGCAGTGTGGCAGCGAGGGTGTGGGCGAGCCACTCATAAATGCAAATGTAGTGTTGTTGACAGTTAAAATTTGCATTAATTGACAAAATCGTGTTCGGCCCGTCTAGGGTCTATTATGAATGTGGCACTTGGTTCGACGTGAACCCTCTGTCTGCACGAATGGTCAGGCGTTTCCGTTTTAATTAAGTCATCGATGTGTGTGACTGTGTTTGTCACGGTCAAGGGCACGATAATGAGCTTTGCTTGATACCTAAATATTATTCAGCTGGCATACACACACATAAACACCCACACAACGCGCTAAAACATATGTAAACAGACGCACAAAAGTATGCAGCACTTTATTAAGGGATACTTTTCTTTTACTCTGCTTTCCTAAAGTACGAGGCAATCGAGATTTTTTGTATGGCATTTCATAAAATTTCATTTGAAATTTGTGGAATTTTGTGGAATTGCTTTAATAATTTACTTTATCAATTGTTCTAGCGAGCTCGTACGTACAGGGTACCCTATACCCTGTAGGGTAGGCTCAGGAGGAGCCTTTAAGATAAAAATGATATTGTGGGCATTTGCTATCACTTCCAACAAGATGGCAATTAAACATACACTATAAGTATATTGGTGAAGAAGCTCGAAAATATCGGACTTCAAAATTAAAGGAAATTAAAAAAAGTGCAAATGTTCAAAAGCTTGTTACATATTATATACAATAATTATATACATATGATGGCAGCACCAAAGATAGTTCACCTATACTGCCAGAGAAAGTCCAAGTTTTTAAGTTATTGGTTTTCCGATTGGTTTTCTAAATAAAATGGAACAACATGATCTCAGCCGAGTCCTGTTCAACACTGTGGAACTGTTAACAATGCTGTGAGTGCTCTGATTTTTGCAATAGAGAGACGTTTTTAAAGCAAGAAAATATTTCAGTAGAATTAATCATTCCTACTTCATAAGTCCATTCAGTTTTAACGTGCAGCATTTTGTTATTCTATTAACTATTTTGTGTAGCAACTTGCTATAATGGAATAGTTTATTAGAATTGGAATACCCCTAATATTAAATACTAATGAATATCATGCAAAATATTGGTCTACAAAACGTATTCAGAATACTAGGTACTTAATTGGATTAGCCATCGTCTATCGCCCGTTGTCTTATTTCTGTTCGACTTTACGACTATATAGTACTAGTAAGTTAAAGATACATTTGCATCTCTCACCTGTGTCCCAGCTCACGCTTGTGACCCAAATAGGTGACATTGCTGCTATCGACATTAACGCCATTGAGCACCGATTGATCCATATCCGTTTCGCCAATGGTTTGCTTGCGATCGCGCGAACCTTTGGAATTGCTGGCGGAATGTTGATGTAGTAGTTGTTGTTTTTGGCCGTTGTTCATTGGCATTTTCACGATATCGTCTGCTGCTAGTTGCTCACAGAAATTACGATCACAATAGTGACGATGATGACGACGACCTGCGCGCCAAAACAGTTGTAGGGCAATGCCAATGCTGCTGCTGCTGCTAACGCTGCTGACGACGAAGACGCAGCGGCGCGTTGCTGATAAAAATTGCGCTCAGAGCGCTCACTCGTGCGAAATCTTATCAGCAAACGTCCCCGTCTAGTTGCCTCTCTCCTGCTGTTGAGCTTCTTTTCGATGTTGTTGTTGCTGTTCCTGCTGTTTCTGCTGTTGCTGATGATTTAAAGCACGTCACGAAAATCGGCGTCGTCAGCGATGCTGCTGTTGTTACTGTTGTTGTTGTTGCTGTTGTGGAATGATCTGGTAGTGCGTGGCGTTTTCGCTGCTGGAAAATTTTTTAATGCGCGCGGCGTATCGGCAACGAACGACGCGCTGCGCAGTTGTTGGTTTTTGCGTAGTCTTTGTTGTTGTTGTTGTTGTTATTATTGTTGTTGTTGCCGCTGCTGTGACTATGTGTACTTTTATTTCAAGTATTTTGCGTTTCTCTTTCGCTTTTGGCTCTTGGGCGAGTCGCTTAGTGTGTGCGCCTACTTAATATGAATTTGTTTGTATTTATTTTTTTTTTGTATATACTTCTATGTATGTATGTATATATATTTTTTGTATTTATAATACATAAACATGCATATATACTTATAATTTCGTGTGGGCACGACAACAAATATTTCAGATTTGAAGTTTATAATTAATGCAATTTATAATTCATGCGTTTACATTTACACAGGAAAAAAATTCTTTACTCTATTAACGGAGCAACAATTTCGGTCAACGTACGAATTTCGACTGATCACAAGGCGTTGCGTTTTGGTCTACGACGGCAACGGCAACGCCAACGACGATGATGACGACGGCGGCGGCGACGTCAACGCTAGCGACGGCCTTTGACTGGCAGCGGCTGACGCGGCAGCGCCGCAAAGCTTACCAAATGCATAGGCAAATAAATATTATTGAAATGGAAGGAAGCAGCACTTAACACAACAACAATAACAACAGAAATAGTAGCAACAAAAATAAATGCTGCAGATGACTGCAGCAACAAAAACAATAACAACAACGGCAACAAGAAGAGAAGAGAAGAGAAGAGCACGAATTGCACTTTAGTCGTCCACTAAGCAATGCGCGCACGCTGCGCTACTCAGAGAAAAGCTTAGGTGCGCAGTTACACTCACTCATCTCTCTCTCTCTCTCCGTCTCTCTCTTAGTATTTTACTCTCTTGGAGGAAAAAATGTGGGCGCTTTTGCTATGGTAGTTGCTGTTGCCATTGTTATTGTTATTGTTTTGTTTCATATTATTATACCCTTCATTGAAAAGTTAAGGGTACATTCTTTTGGTTTGTTAGTTTGTAAAACCAATAAAAAGAACATGCTATGGGTATTATATAACCAAGGCTTCTTTTTGAAACGGGCGGATATCATATATACGAGTATATGGCATGTATACTCTGTATATAGCTGACAAAGGAAAGATTTATAAAGATATTGAAACTAAATAAAAAAGCAAAAACAATTTAAAAAAAAGAGATAAGTAGTTAGAGCATAGCATGTGTATGCAGTATAAATATGTATGTATACAACTATAAGCCAACCATAGAGAAATAGTTTTGTTTAAGTCACAGTGAAGGGTATAGAGATTCGGCGCAGACAAAGACAACTTCTTAGCTCATTTATACCTTTTATGCAATAATATGATGAAACGTACTCGGTGCTTTTGTATAATTATTTTATACATATGTATGTATATACATAAGTAGTATACGCCTATGCTTGTTTTATCTGAACGTCACAGTCGAAAATAGCGACGAGCAAGGCGAGTAGAGCAACTGACACCCACTTGGACGAAGTGTGTTAATGTGAATGCTTTGGGACCAACATTGGGGTAATCTGTCTGTCTGCCGTCTGCCTGTCAGCCTGCTTGCCTATGGAAATTTTATGTGGCAGTCAAAAAGTTAGTGCGTTTCTTTTCTTTCTTTCTATCTTTTCTTCTTTCCTTCTTTCTTTTTGCGACGCATACAAATACACGTACAAGATAAAAGTATACACATGACGCTTTATATTTGGTCACGCACATGCATACGTGCATAAATACATGCACAGTGTACTCGATCTCTAAATGCACACACGAACAAATGCGATACGTACAACGTACATATATATGCATACATACATACATATGTGTGCATACATCCATGCAATATGTGCATAAGTATGTGGGTTTGCGTCTTTACTAAACTGACACACAGAACATACACACTATAACCATGATGTTTTTATAAATTTGTTGTCAACTTAAATACTCTACAACACATGGAGGGCATTTACCATTTCTCACGAAACATTCAAGAAAGGAAATTGAACCGACTGTCAATATTGCAAATGCATTTCAATCAAAATTTTGATAAATGTACAGCTTTTATGTACAAGTATGTGATAAAGATTTGTTTGGATTTTACAGATCTGAGAAAGACGACTATACTGTACAGAGGCCGTTTGTGGATTCAAATCGAGGATTATCTCTAAATAATTTTCCCTAGAGGCTTGCAGCAACTGTTGTGCTGGTCCCCAAATGTCCAAAAGCTAGTGGTCTATGAAACGACCAGATTTTGATATTTTTGGGCAGACTTGAAAATATTTGTTGTTTGATATTCCAACTAGGAATGAACTAAATATAGAATTGGCTAGGAAAAAAGACACAAGTGCTATTGTGTTGCTTGCTATTGAAAGTGCAGTTATTTAATACATTAAATTGAATGGATGACTCAAACTCTATACTATATATGAATATATTTATATCAATAAATAAACTAAAAAGTTTAACAAAACTTTGATAAAAAAAATAGATTTTTGAAGTGAAAATTCTCTTGAAAGCTGGATCGGCAACCTTTTCGGTAACGAACATATGTATGTATGTACGGCTGATTTGTCTGCCTTGATTGATCGCCACTCATATTAGTTTTGTTTTAGATAATGCCCAACCTCTGATTAAGTTTTAAGACGAGAAATTATCAATAATCAATAATTCAGCAAAGGAATCTAAAACGTAAAAAAAAGCATATAGTTTTTTCACGTAACTTTCGATAATTTACAATCGCAATTCTTTATCAATTATTTCTGTTATCAAAAGTGTTGAACGAAGACGCACATAGTGCTTTTATTATTTAAAAAACAGAATAATTTTAACTGAGGAGTGAAAACTTGAAAGTTCATTCAAATTAAATCATTCAGCAATTTTTGGAAATTATTAAAAATTTTTTTTTTTTTTGGGTAAACAATTGAACATCTGCTTTGAGCAATAGTTTGAATAAAGAGTATTATACTTTCGGTCGAAGCTTTGTTGTCTTGCTTGGCCTCATGTGGGAAACTATTTCAAAGAAATTTAATACAATTTGCATAAACTATGTCCACGTGTTGCTTGTTGATATGCAAATGAGCGCTTAAATTAAAAGTTTAATATTATTTATCGAATGGATCATTTGACACCTTTAGCTGTGACTTGTCGTGGCCAAAACTCAAAATAAAAGATTAATATTGACGTTTTTTCCGTCTGTGTGTGTTATCATCAATATTTTATAATGCAGAGTGAACTTAAAATTTACATGACATTTTGGTCGCCACCTTAAGCTATAAATAAAGCAAGCAACTTTGATTATACAAACTGAATTCAATATTTCCAATGGCAAATAGAAGAGAAGCAGAAGGTTGACGAAGTCGAGCAGTGAGAAAGATATTTATTATTAAATTAATAAATATATTACAAATCTTTAAACTCTAAATGAACATAAAAGGCCAACTGTAGCGACTTTCTTCTTATTATCACAGAAGTCATATTCATATGATATATATGATATACCCTACTCGAAGAAAGCGTGCCATATTTACATTTATGATCATCCAGAAAAAAGGAATCGATATGCATACGAGTATGTCCGTCTGTATGAAGAATGATAACTTTTTAATGATAAGGAGTAGGGCACACAAACTTGGTAAGTGGACTTGTCTCATCTATTCGCCGAGCAAGCTTATAACAAACTTTATTTAGTCTAATTATTTTATATAGCTGCCATAGGACCAATCGGTGTAAAAATCATTCTTACTAGGATGACTTTTTCGCTTATCCATCTTAAGACAAGCTGGTACTCTCATATCATATAGCTGTCATTGAAACGATCGATGCACAAATATGCGCGAAACTAATCAAATATCTATATTCTTATTCAGCATGAAGAGATGTTTCTAGCCAAGTCTGGCTTTCGGAGACTACGGAGCCCATATTGGTCAAACCCCTCCAAGTCCCAAGGCAATACGAGTTCATTTTATTCTATTTCTTTATTTTCTCCCACTCTTCGCTGCATAATTACTTTTTACTATTGTGTGCAATTCCACAGCAATGTACACCAAATTATTTATATACTATATATTTTAAATCTAATTGAAATATTTTGGTTCTAAGAAAAGTTTTTATTTTGCGACTATCTCTTCTTTGTTCTTATTGTTTATGAGGCTTATATGCATTAGGCATTTCTTGAAATAAAGATAAAACTAAACGGAAAACATAAATTATCCCAAGGTAATACGGTTCTCAGCATTGTTGAAAAATGAAGTGTTATCGATGGAGTTTTTGATAGGAGCCTATACCTAGGAATACTGGAGTATGTCTTATTGTCATGAGCAAGATGTTTGTTAAGTGCGTCAGCATAGTTTTCAAAATTGGACGATTTTGGGACAGTCTAAGTTTTGGATATTCGCAAACGGCAGATCTCAACTAAAAATAGCACTGTTGGAGAAATGCCAAAAAAAACAGCATAAATAAATTAAAAATGAGTTGCTTTTATTGAAATAGATTGCTTTGAAGAGCTCTTTTTTAAAAACCCCCTCTTCTTTGTTATGGCTAAGTGCAGGGAATAAAAAGGGCTACACTTGGAGGGGTGTTCCCAAGAAGTAGATATTTGAAAAAATAGCTTCACTCTTTTAAATATTTTTGATAATTATCTTGTTTTACTTACTTTGATCAAGTATAAAGAAATTTAAAATTTAGGCTAAAGTTGACTGGAATTTCTATATACTTGTATGTTTTAATATCTTTGAGATAGGATTATCGTACCTAATTGGTGCCTACATTCCGCGTTAGCCTCTAGGATCAGTCATATAATCACTTAAAATTGTGAAGCTGTTGGTTCTCAGCTTCAGTTTCTGATTAGAGATATAAGTAAGTAGTTGCTTCAAAATGTTTGCTTTCTCAGTAGAGGAGCGCTCTGTCTTTGATGAGTCGCTAACAAACCTACATACTTAACAGTGCAAAGAAATTGAAAGCCGAGCGTTGTTTTTCTAAAGAAGAAGAACTCGAGCAGCTTACGCAAATCATACTTGTATGTACCCTTGAATAAAGAACTTATATACTCGCCTTTCGCTATGCAAATACAGTGCTGGGAAACAATATAGAAGCAATTGCAATGCCATGATGATAAAAATGCTAAAATTAGTGCGCATTATTTATAATTTGCACGCATATTTCTAGTCATACACATACTTATGTATGTAGGTGTGCGTGTGCTTTAGTTTGAAAAAAATAATATTTTTTTTAT